AGGATGTATAGTTTTCGTCGTGTAGTATTAGATTTGTACATTGTTTCAGTTTGTGAACACGTTTAGTGAACACGTTGAACACGTTAAGTACTAACGGTGTTGGTGTTTACGCGCAGATGATGTATTCAAAAAATGATCATGTCCGGCCACGATTTAGGAAAAATTAAATAAGCGCCCCCTCGAATAAGCGCCCCCTCGAATAAGCGCCCCCCTCGAATAAGCGCCCTCTGTCTCTCCTAAATTTGAAATAAGCGCCACGGGCGCTAATTCGAGGATTTACGGTATCCAAGCTTTCGTAATGTAATCTTTTGAGACCTGATATGCACGTCAGTTTTCCATTAGTGATAGTCACGAGCATAATCTGTTACTCGCCTTTAAGAGACATAACTTGTAATTTTCGTTCAGTGACGCTGTTCAGTCAGGGGCTGTGGCGCCACTGCTCAGTGTGCCTTTTCTTTCGAGAGTTCCGCCGGCGTCTTGGTGGGGTTGCCACATTGTTGTGGCTTGTGGCGAAAGTTTTAACCCCATCTTTTCTGAAGAGATTTTAATCTTTGTTTGTAACATTAGTTTCAGTTAAACTCGTCACATTCGAGGCCATTTATCCCAACGATTTGTTTTTATTGTCGTCTACCTATCTCTTCAGCAAACTGGGACTCCTTGGATAACCAGAACACCACAATCAGTTATCATTATCGAAAAAGAAATTTAAATTTCCACTAAATCATTCTCACGTTATTAATTCGAACGGCTGTTAATTGTGGTGTTACCGCACATGCACAGACTTTTGGTTTGATTGAGATTTGTTATGGCGATATGCGATCGATCGCTGGTTATCTCAAGCGCTAAAACTTCCGCACAGTTTGCTCTATTTGCGAGGCTATCAAAAAAATCACACGTTCACAGTAACGGTTGTAATTCGCGCGTGAGAAAACAAGCCATCGTCTGTACTCTCGTAACAAATTTCACTTATGTCAAGGGACAAGATATCACAATTTTTACCTTCATACTTAGTCTTTATCGCCTTTTCCACAGCAGTTCCCTCAAACACAGCATTCCTAGCAAGTATCTTCAACATGTAGTTGGTATATATCTCCAGACCTCTCACAGTCCAACTTGTTGTACCAGGGTCAGTAATATCCTCATTCTTTATCTCAGTGCTACCCTTTAGTATGACCGCTCGGTACGCTGTGATAGGAATTCCTCCATCATCAGCTGGTGCAGTCCATTTTACTGTTAGTGAAGTGGATTGAATGTATAACTGTGCGATGGTTGGGGAGCCCGGCTTCTCTAGGAGAACAACAACAAAAAAGCCTTTGGATGTATAATGTACTTTTAAAATAATTCAACACCTATTAACAATAAAATGTTTCATTCGCTTCCTCCGGTTATCGAGTGTCATTGAAATCCTTTCTAAATCATAATATGCATGATCTTAGAGCTGAAAAAGTTTGGACATCATGGCCTGCATACCTGATAAGGAGCTTATTAACTTCTCCAGCAAATGTCAATACGTTATACTTTTAAACTACGTCCTGAAAATCCTAACCCTAGTACTGTCAATTCATAGTAAAATAGATGATATTCATTTATTAAGGGTGAACTGTTCACTGGTTTTAAAAGCAAACATATTTACTTATGTACATATTTAGTTATGTAAATAGTAGTTTATTGTACTGTATATAATATGCGATTTTATTTTTATTTTTATTATCAATACTGTTTTATTTATTTATTTATTCCTTTATTTATTATTTTCTTGGAGAAATTAGCTATACAGCTACTCTTGTAAATCCGAGGTGAAATAAAGGTGATATATGTTTGTATGTATGTACGTAAAGCTTTCTGTTGAGTTGATGATGAACTTTAACCGAGTGATTCCTATAGAAAGAAAAACCATAAGTCACAGTTTACTTGACAACTGCCTTTCTTAAAAAAGAAATGAAAAGTTAGCACAAAATACATCATTTTAAATTTACGACAAAGAGGACCTACTTATCTGTTCTAATTTCACTATCTCGAAATCAGCAGGAGTGAGTCCATTGTCAGCATTGCACTTGAAACCACCAAAATCAGGATCCACGCTCATCTTCACATTTACTGTGTTCTGTGTAGCTGTGACGCTGTTTATTCGACTTCCATCAGGTTTGTACCAGGTGAGTGTTGGCGTAGGAACACCATCTGACACACACTTCAACGTCACTGTTTGACCAATCCAAGACTTATCAGCTGATGCTGCGGCTTGTTTTATGGTGGGCGGGTCTGAAAAATTACAATAACATCCGATTTTGAAATTACTCGCGGGATTACTCCCTGAATTGTACCTCACTCGGTCCAATTACCCTTACAAATCATCAATAATAGTCTCTGTCCCGTTACAATATTGAAGTTTTCACAATCAATCATCTAAATTGAACGTGGCAGAAAATTATCGCATAAGAACCTTGCTGATGTAATATCTCTTCTCTTCATCTCTTAGTATTGTTTCTAACATTAGAGTATGTATTGTAGAGAAAGTAGCAAAATAGAGTACCGTATTGTAAATAATGCAAGAAATTATGTGTTTTGCAAATAATAATAATAATAATAATAATAATAATAATAATAATAAAAAATTAACAAGTACCTTAAAAAAAACCCTAGCTGTATCGCCTTGCTCATAGCGAGTCTCCCATAGATCTAGCACAGTGGTTAGTCCCAGTAAATATTTCGAAGGAGACGGACTTACTGAAGTTTAAAACTAAAAAATCATCACAACTCTACCATCAATTCATAGTAAAATAGATTTTTTTCCTTCTCTAAGCCATACAATCCATGATTATGAAACATGCTTGTCGTTACTATGCACTCAGCCCTATTACCATTACAAATAGGCGTGCGGAGAACCAATCACGATCGAAAATTTTGTTACAGATACGATTAGACAATAAATAGGATGCGTGCATAACAGGAAAGTGTTTAATTGTAAGACGTTCTTTAACAGAAATTTCGTTTGCGGAAAAGGGGGAACAAACTCACAGCCATTCAAGGAGTATTAATTAACAATTATTGGATGAGGTTGAGCATGATAGCGATAATTATCAAGGCCAAAGTTTGTGTCATCTGTACGCTCTCCGACCACCATGTTGTCGTACAAACATCCTCAGAAGTGGAGACGTTTCTCTTGGGGCGCTGAAATAAAAACTCGTTTAAGGGATTTAGGTGACTTAGATACAGCTCGAAGGACAATTTGGACCATGTTTTTCATACATCAAACCTAACCTTCGTCATCTTCCCGGCGGTTTTTTGTTAATTCATCCGCTGCTTTGCTCACGTAGCGTGCTCCGGTGCTGTCCTTGTTGAACAAAAATTCAGTCTTCTCGAGTTGACGGAGATTTTGCCTTCCTCGGCGACAAAAGCACAGCATTACTTCAAAAAACAAAGCTTTGTTTTGAAGCTTTTCTTGATCATTCAGACCGAAGGCAGTGCTTTCGTACAATTTTTTCAGGTCTTCTTCGCATATCGGTGGCTTGTGTTCAACTGTTGCCAGCCCTTGTCGCTTCAGGTCCACACACTTCGCGCTAAACACTTTGTTTGTGTCAGCAAACTCTGAATCATTGATGATGTCAAAACCACGAGTAGCTTTGAATTGCCGATTTAATCCAAAACTGAGGCTGTTTAGCGTACTCTTTGAATAAGAAGTGCCATCCGCTTTTCGAGCTTCTGCATAGAACAGCTTTGGCACGTTCGCAAGCGTATCTTTCGTTTGAGGTTCATCTGGTTTCTTTTCCTTCAAATACTGATGAAAAACTTTCAGTGCTGACTTTTTGGCCCTTTTGGTGCTGTTTGCATCTTTATCATCAAGAAGGAAGTTTAAATCTTCTTCTGATAGTATGGCAAACCTTGCTTTCGACTGCGCCATGACAAAACTGATCAAACTACTGGTTTGCGTGCTAGGTGACGTCACTTCTGCATGCATAAAACTATTTTATTATGTAAACACTAGTGTAATACCAGGATTTCTCCTTTTACTAAAAAATCATATCTTCATCGCGCGCAGTAAAGATACTTCTTTTATCTTTCACGTTTGAGGATATTGGTGTCGCCATGGTTACTTACATGATAATCGCTTAAACTGAACTTAGATGTGTTGCTGCGCTCACTCGTGAGATATCGAGTTGAACACTCGAAGATAAAATTCGTATCCACGCGCAGGCATGTAAAATCCTCTATGTCTGTAGGTATGACGTCCCTTCTACATATATAAAATCTATTGTCTGTAAGTATGACGAAAGAGAAACAGAGCAAGCAAGAATTAACTGCGTGCTTATAGCCAATCAAAATCGAGCTGGTTACACCAATGTATAATAACAGGAGCCATAATCGGGGACGGAGACCGTAAGTCTTGGGATCCGCGCGCACCTATGATATGGGACAATTTTTCTATTTTTAGAACAAATTGCGC